AAGGCACTGGACAAATCCTTACATTTGATGGCCCTGGGACTGAATGGGAACACCACGTGTGGAACTTACCAGTCACACACTGGTTGGAAAGTGTGAGGAAAGGGCAGGCTGAGGGATGACACTGACCTGACAAGTACTATCCTAGTGGGAGACACTAGATTATGTATGCAGGAATATTTAAGAAAACATTTTTTTAATTTATAATCAATATAATCACCAAAATACTATGCTTATTTCCAAAACTATAGCAGAGGACTAGAATGACAACCTAAAACTTTTGTCTTAAAAACCACAAGTGAAACACTAATGGATTTTAATCTTTATTTTATTATTTTTTTAAGGAAATTTTTTTTTGTGTCTCAACAGATGAAATTCTTAACTTTCTTTCTGATAAGACAATTGAAACATAGAAATCAAATACAACAATGTGCTTTCAAGCCTTTATTTCTTCATTTAAGTAACTGACAATTCAAAGGACACAGACAATAGGGCTGTAGCAGAACAGTGTTACAATTAAAATAGATTTCTATGAAAAACAATTACAACAGCTGTTGAAAATCCAGGAAGGGTTGATGTTTTGAACAGAAGAGAATGCATGTTAAGAAGTATTTGTACTGAAACGAGGTGGTTTGTAGCTCTCCTTTTTGAACAAGAAGAGAGGAGAATCCTTGTGTTAATGCAGGGTCTGGAGGGAGCATTTTATCACATTGAGAAAATAATTGCCCTATAGAATTAAGAGTAAGGGATGAGTATACCTCTTACTCATCTTTCTGACTTTTCGTTGTTACACCATAAACCCCACCAGAGCAAAATTCTCATGTGTTTTCTTTTTTTCCTTATTTTTTAAAAATGCTTACCTCCGCCCATTTGTAATGGTTTGGGTTTCTGCTTCAGTAATTTAACACTTAAAGGAGAACTTGACCTCTTTCATGCCTTTTTGTTAACAGTTCTCTGAGATGGCATGCACATCCAGCAAGTACTTCTTTCTGTTTTCAATGACTTGAACACACCTTCCAGTGTCTTAAGTTGATGGTCTTGAATGACAGAATGGATATACTGGTTAATCTCGTTCCCAAGGACTAGTTGCTATTTTTAGTCATGACAGATAGGCCCATACCTCAGAAATAGTTCCCAGTGACTGCTGGATGCAAGGCAGTAACCAGTCATTAATTATCAAATGTGCTTCACTGACATTCACAGCAAAGTCTTCTGGCTGCAGTTCTAAAGCAGAAGCTGGGAATGGGAAAGTTCCAAGTGTTTGGCTCATTTATAAGGAAAACAATCTTGATTAAAAGATGAAGATGAGGTTGGCCACGACTCAGTGTTGTGGCAAACAGAGTAGTGTCAGGACAAATTCCCTATGATAAACATTGGCAGTAGTAATTTGAAAAGTGTATGCTTATTACTTTATCCATTAAAAAGTCGGAGAACTTGTGGAAATGTAAGCTTTCTTTCAAGAAATTTTGACGAGAGAGTAGAGAAACTATAGGACCTAGTTTTGGTAGTCTTGTATAAGGACCAAACAGAAAAGTTTTTGTAGTAGTAGTAGGAGTCTGAATAATTGGAGTAACATTTGACAATTGATGTGTGGTTTGCGTTCATTTCAGCATTTCTCATCTATAATCAAAGGCAAAGAGACAAATCTTCATAGATACTTTAGGAAATAATCATATTTTTCAAGCATTGCAAAACCACTAATTAAGTGAGGCATTAAGAGGTCTTTTCATGCAATATACCACTGAACTGCATAAAAGACGGAGTCTAGTTGGTGTGCATCTCTCATGACAATTTTCTTTTATATACTACCACTGCTCTGCAAGAGCCTTTAATTTAGAATGGTTGGAAATGCTGACTACAGGGCAGACCACTGCTGTCACTACATTGCCAAGTGGAGTGCTCATCTGGAGCACTTTGGGCAGCATTTGGGTTGCATTTCTTAGAAAAGGGCTTTTTTACCTTATAACACTGCCTACTGCTGCATACCAACCTCCATCAGAATTAACATTCCTCACACAGGCATGGGTGAACCATAGCTCTTGGGCTTTATAATCCTTAGGGAAATGGTAGAATCTTCATTTTGAAAGGTAAATATTATTATTGTATTCTCCAGAGAGTTAGAGGCTCAGGGGTTTTTATTACAACCAAGAAATCCTGAGTTCCAGCCTTCTGACAGCTCTTCCTCAAGCCAGGCAAAGATGATCTGATATCCTTTAGCAAAATGTGACAGCCTGCCAAACTCATAAAAGCCAACAAAAAATTCAATAAGGCCCATTAAAATGCAAATGTTTGTATAAGTCAGATGGCTGCATTGTCTCTAACCCTTTTGCATGGCATGACTGTTCTATGTGAAAGCAAAGTATTATTTGCAGTGCATTAGAACTGATGCACTGCACAGATGTATAAAAGGTTGATAGGTTTTTATAGTGAGATGTTGTTTGGTTTCAGTAATAGCAATAACTTAGATAATGGATGTAATCTATTAATCTTTGTACATACAGCAAGGAGCTCTCTTAGCAAAAGTAATAGATTAAATTTACTATCATTGTCTTCCTATAATAAAATAAGTGTGCTCTCCATCACTTGTGCTTTTGAGTTATATAAATAGGAAAGTTATTGGAAAATAGCTCAGAAAAATATAACTTTCACTTAGGGACTGATGAGGTAAATATGATATTCTAGCTGGTGATTACAGCTTTAACCAGCTGAATGTATCCCCTAGCTATTAATTAATAAATGAGATCCTGCAAATCCAAATAATTTCAGAGTTACTTAGAAAATGTCCTAAGTACCAGTGTAATATAATTTTTTACACGTATTTGTTCCTATTCTCTACTATCCAATCCTGTATTTTACTAATTTATTGTATTTCATTACCCGTTGATTACTAAGGTTGAAACTTACCTTTCCAAGAACAGAGGCAAAATAAGGCTTTCTACAGGGAAGCCCCTATATCTAAGAAAGAAGGAATTTAGGCCAAATCTCCCAGACTGCTACTGAGTCAGTAGACAAGATCAGTTCCTTTACAATAACTCTGTGCTTCTTAATCTGGTATTTTCAGATTTATTTGTGCCTGAATTACCAGACTCTCCCCCAGTCCAGATAGCACAGGAGATGAACAAAGCCCTTTTTTGTAGCATGCCATCTACAACTGTATATTGGAAAGTTTTATGATGTAGAAAATTCACTATGAGCATTCCCCCATGTGAGAATAACTTAGTATTTGTGACTTGTGTTTATTACTTGGTAAGTAGTGTGATTTCCCATTTCCCATTAACTTTTTAAAATACAAAAATATTAAACCTAGGTATTTCTTAAAATAAACTCTGGGTACCAAGATTTATTTATTTAAAGGTACCTGTGGTATCCAATACAGGGCTACTAACTGTGTGACAAATCCTTTATAGTGGATCTGTAGAAGTATAAATATTATTAAAAATTTTTGAAAGTGACTGTGCTGTAGAAAATTTTGGATGCTTTTAAAAATCTAAAGTGGTGTTTTTCATTTAAGAGTTTTCCATAAATATTACCATTCTAATTTTTTTTTTTTTTGAGTTTTAATGAGTTTGCCAGTGATGGTGTTTTCTCTACCTGGTTATCATGGAGAAAACTAGTAGCTTCTTATACTATAAGAACTGGAATTTACTCAGTAGATCTAATGATATAGGAAAGGGTTCCACCCTTTGAGATACTGTCAGGTAGCCCAAAAAATGAACAACAATTGCATAAAAGAAATTCTAATCTTAAATTGGAGGAACCTTTTGAGGAAAAAAAGGCAATGTTCTCAATGCAGTGGTAGGTGCAATGGCTCTTTTTTCATGTCATACAAAAGGCAGTATTGCAGTATATTGGACTGTCAATCAGATTAAAAAATTAAAGGAAATGAAAATATTATTAATAAAGTGGATTATTAAAATAATAAATAGTTAAATTTAGCCAAAAAATTCCTTGCATTTGACATTCTTCTGCAGAGGAGGCTACAGTGGTGCAAGTCAGCCAAAATCTTTTGGGGATGTTTAAAGCAAATATATAAGGATAAGACAGATTTCTGGAGGCACAAGAGAGCTCAGATTCAGCCCCTATCTGTCTATGTTCCCAGCAATCTATCAGGATTTCAAGCTGCTGCTTCAATTCCTAAGGTAGCACTAAACAACTGTTTTCCTTTCTAGTGAGTAGAACCCTGGTTTAGAGTATAATGGGTTCATGGGTGATAAATCTTATTTCAGATTCTCCCAGAAAGCATAAACAAAATTCCCTGTTGATAAAAGTACCTAGTTGTGGAAAAATGGCAGTAGCAATAGTTTAGATTACAGCCTGTGTCCTTCTTCAGAGCTCATCTCTGCTGTAGATTTGGTGGATTGTGGCAAGCCTCAGGGGGTTGAAATAGCTTTCAATCTCAGCAAAATATACTTTCCACCACTTAATTTTTCTAGTGCAGTTATAGAGGAGTTTGAATACTGGTGATTTCCTCAGAAACCATGTTTCAGATGCAGATTTTCAGTATTGGTTGCTTTCCAAGTGACACAGCTGGTGAAATCTATCTTTCTGCTGTTCTCTCCATAGTGCTGATAAGTGGCAGGCTTTCTTTCTTCCAGCATTATCCTAATTGGTATCCCCATCAATTACCTGAACACACTGCATGAGTAAAACTGAGGGAACAGGCTGACTGATACTTGGTATAGAGAATAAACCCCAAACCACATTTGAATGAGACCTAGTTTTTCCTCTGTGTTTGAGGGGTCTATGCAATGAAGAGGAGAGTGAGCAGAGGAAAAATACCTGCTAGAGTCTTTTTTTTCTCACTGTAATGGTTTATATTCTCAGTTCAAGAGTGGTAGGTCTGAGATGACAGAGCTTGTTGTGAGGACTTTGCACTAAGACCTTGGGTCTAATGTTAAGAAAACTGTATTGTTCTTATCTTCGTTTCCTAAACTACCCTTGGAAAAAAAGTGATTAACTACAAGAGCTGAAACAATGTAAATTCTCTTCACTTTTCAAGTAAATTTTGCCACTCCATGGAATTATTTATTTGGGTTTCATTGTGGATAAGCATGATACACATCATGACATAAGCCCTAAAGTAACTTTTAAAATAACATTCAGGACAACTGTCTTGACAAACAAAGCTTTTTTTTTTTTTTTTTTTTTTTCCCCCCCCCCATTATATTAGTATATTTTGCTCAAACATGAAGTGAACTTATGGACAAATCTGAATTCTCATGTGCTTCATGGATCATGACAGCAAGGCTGTTTCATTTCCCATCTATATTCATGATCATATATATTAAAATAAATTACAGCACAATTTTTTCTTGTTAACCTTGTCACCTTTTAAAAACAATATACATTTAATACTTGAATTAAGGAAAGAACAAAACAAATATAACTTTTTTTTTTTTCCACACACAAACATGTACATATGAACTACATGTGCTTGCAAACAGATTTTAGTTAAGTGTGATGATATTTTAATATACCTGCACTATGGCATTCCCTCCACAAACAATGAGAGACTTGTTATCAAGTGTACTTGCTCAAAAGCCAAATTCCTACTTTATGGCTGCAAGCTCAAGAGATCAGTGTTATAATTTACTTCCTACTTATACAGTGCCCAATGTAATGAAGTCAAAGTGCTGTTTGATTTTAGGTATTAAAATGTCATAAACGAATTCTTTAAGAAGCAATAATATTTTTTTTTTCTGAAAGATCAGAATTGCTAAGGTGTGTACAAGCTGACAACCATCTCCATAGCTGCATATGCAGCAGCTTATGCACAATACTTTTAAACCATTGTTCTTGGCTTATGTATGAGGAGATAATGTTGCTGACTTGCAAATGCCATGCTTGGAAATAGGCAGACTTCTTTAAGGTTACAGAGTTCCATTTACCTTTTTTCCTCTTCTTCTACAATGTGCATTTTCATGTTCTCCAGCTCAGTTAGCAGTGGTAAATATTAAAGCAATCCAGAAAAAAGATATGCCACAAAGTGAGAAATAATTAAAACATAAGTTACACTTATTTTCCACTACAGCCTGCTTAGTAGAAAGCAAAAAAACCTAGACTCATTTATCAAATTTCTAGTGTAACCAGGAGCAACAGAATGGTGTTCCTGATTTATGTTGCCTGACTACAGTAGAAAATCTCTTTTCAGTCTCTTCAACTCTTCTGCTTCATGACAATTTTGGTATCTGCTGAATAAATACAAATAATCAAATTATGAGGTGAAAGTCTGTTCTTTTGTACTTTTCTATAACCTATTTGAATATGAAAGATAAAGTATTCTTCAATTTAAGTTGAAATAACAAGGACTGTTTATCTTGACTATGACAGCTCTTCCCTCATTCTGCTGATGCTATAAATACAGATTTTTATTTCCAGCTGGCCTTATATCCAACCACCTGCTCCTAGTAAAAAAAAAAAAAAAAAAAAAAACCCACCAAATAAAAAAAAACCCAACCCCAACAAAATCCCCTGCAGATTGGTTTTGGCATGTAGCTATCTCAGTAGCAAGGCTTTTATAGAAGCTGGTTTATTTCACTTGGAGGAGGAGGTTTACTCAGATTTCTTATTTTTATTTTTGGCTTGAAGAAGGTTTAAGATTCTTCTTTGAGATCAGATTCCAAAAACCATGTGAACATTCAGTGAAACCTAACCAAATCCAGAGATCTTCATTTGGCATCACAGTCATTTGAAACTGAGAAGGGAAGAGGGCAGAACTAGGAGACAGACAAAAGGAGCATGTGTCACTGAACTAACTGAGATTCTTCTAAGCTGCTAAGGGAAGCTGAGTTTTTAATTCTTATTACAGGAGATAAGAACAGGGCATCCAAATTGCTTAGATAACTTGAAAAATCTCATTCATTTCTTGAGAGATTCTCCAACAATGAGGCCCTCTGCTTTTTCCAAAGTGTTCCTTTAACTTCTCCAGGCACAATTAAGTTTTAAGTTTCTGGATGAGAGCTTTTTCATTTTTTTTTCCCCTGGTTCTTTTTAGCATAAAAAGCAATCAGTCTCAGAGGATACTGAAAAAAGGTCAGAAACCATGTATACAGTGTTTTCCCACATGTTGTCTTATGGCAAAACTATGAATCAGGTGCAGCAGACTGGCCTTTCTAAGACTCTGCTGTTGTGCTCTTTCTTTTATTTGAGATCAGAGGTACAATTCAGTGAAGATGGACAATTTGATCATGTGTTTCTTTCCCTGCTACTCCATGTCAAGCCACCTGATGAGCTGAGACGATGGAAATGGACACGGTAGTCATCATGCTAGCCCCAGGTAGACTAGGACTATTCAGGAGAAAAGAATAATTAGCAAACTGGTCAGAACAGGCTTTCTCTTCCTCACTTCTTGCTGGATGTTTCACTGCTGAGGATGGAGGTGTAACAGACTATAGTTTATTATACAAACGTTGCCTTCTTTGAAGAAAAATAGGTAAGGATTGTCCATTTTATTATTGTATAATGGACTATATTTTCACACAATGCAGTAGTGATGAGGCAAAATAACTGCCTGACTACAGTTTCTTGTCTGTCTTTGTTGGAAGCTGCTGTGGTACTTGGTCAGCCAGTAGCCGCTTGCTCTACCAGATTTTCAGCCAACACTTCACCTTTTTATGGGTTAACTGTGGGCTTCTGGCATTCACACGTCCTGAAAATTTTTCAGGAAAAGTCCAATGTCTATAACTGATATCCAGGCATGGTGTAGCAAAGTCTGTTTCTACTTATCTTTGATGTGATTCAGTCACAACATGGCCTACATCCCTCAGTTTCTTCTCACCAGTTTCTCCTGTCACAAGGTTTAGATAAGACATTCCAATAAATATTAATGTTGACTTCTTACTGCATCTCATATGCCTAAATTACAGTTTGTGGTGCTGAGGCTGTAGTGTGTAATGTTTCTTAATTTTATTTACAGTGTTTTAATTGTTACTGTCATAGGTGATTCAATACCAAGATAAAAGAAATTAGGAAAAAAAGATAGCTACCATTCACTAAATAAGGAAAACCTTGAATGGCAGTGTGACAATAAGTAAAAAAAAAAATTAATTTAAAAAAACCCACCTAGTGACATCAGCTTGTGTCGATAATTCTCTAGGGACCTCGAAGTCTCCTGTTTGAGTTCAGTTGTATGTGGAGCTGTCGACCCTGTTAGCTCTGGTGGAATGTCTGAATGGTGAGGTAGGAACAGAGGGTAAAAGCAGCCTCCCAGTCTGAATCTATCTGGAGTTAGATTTTTGTGAACAAATTCTTTCTGAAAATGATGTTGCAAAATTAGTAAGGAAGAAGAAGGGGAAAAAAAATAAAAGAGAATCAGCTCAAAATATGAAAATAAGGAGAGATGGAGTACTGGTTAGCCTTAACCATCCTTAAATAATTTCCAACTCTTTTGTTAATACATTGCTTCAGTCTTTTTTTTAACTCACTTATTGAAAGTTTAACTGGGTTAAAAAATGCCCAGGTTAAAACCTGGTTTGATGGCTGGGCACAGAGAGTGGTGGGGAATGGTGCCATATCCAGCTGGTGTCCAGTCACTAGTGGGGTTCCCAAGGCTCAATATTGGAGCCAGTCCTGTTTCACATCTTTGCCAATGACCTGGATGAGGGGATTGAGTGCACCCTCAGTAAGTTTGCAAGCAACACTAATTTGGGTGGCAGTGTGGATCTGCTGGAGGGTAGGGAGGCTCTGCAGAGTGTTATGGACTGGCTGGATTGAGAAGCCAAGGCCAGTGATATGAGGTTCAACAAGGTCAAGTGCCAGGTCCAGCCCTTGGGTCACAATAACCCCAGGCAGTGCAACAGGCCAGGAGAAGAGTGGCTGGAAAGCTGCTCAGAAGAATAAAACCTGGGAGTGCTGGTCAACAGTGGCTGAACGTGAGCCAGCAGTGTTCCAAGGTGGCCAAGAAGGCCAATGGCATCCTGGCCTGCATCAACAATAGTGTGGTCAGCAGGACTAGGGGAGGAATTGTCCCTCTGTACTTGGCACTGGTGAGGCCACATCTTGAATGCTGTGTTCAGTTTTGGGCCCCTCACTACAGGAAAGACATTGGGGTCCTGGAGCATGTCCAAAGAAGGGCAAAGGAACTCCTGGAGGATGTATAGAGCAAGTCCTGTGAGGAATTGTTAAATTGCTAGAAAAGGAGGCTCATGGGGGGTCCTTATCACTCTCTACAACTACCTGAAAGGAGATTGTAGCAAGATGGGGGTCGGTCTCTTCTCCCTGGCAACTAAATTACAGCATGAGAGAGCACAACTTCAGACTGTGCCAGGCGAGGTTCAGGTTGAACATTAACAAGAATTTCTTCACAGAAATGGTTGTTAAACACTGGAATGCACTGCCCAGGGAAGTGGTGGAGCCAGCATCCCTAGAGGTGTTCAGTAAATGACTGGGTGAGACACTTAGTGCCATGGTCTAGTTGACAAGGTCAAAGGTTGAACTCGATGACCTTGGACGTGTTTTCCAAATAATTCCATGATTCAGTGTGATTCTGTAAACACCTGTGCATTCATCTATTCTGAAAGAAGAGTACTGATCTGTGGAAGTGGACTTCAAAACATATTTGCGGGAGGCTCAAGCATTCTCTTAAAGGACTTGTGACAAGGATATTTTGGTACCTTCCTCAAGTTGCTTTGCCGGTTTTGACATTTTCTGTTTTCTCCATTTCTGCAGAACTGTGGCTGCTCCTCAGAATTTTCTTGTACTGACTCCCAGGTAAGTTCAGGCTTGTGCCATCATGGGGGCCAGCCTGTATAAAAGTCAGAGGTAGCTTAAAACCTTTGTTCCCACTTTTAGTACCAGGTATGCACTATCCACCTGTTTCTGAATATATGATAGGGGAACCATGTGGCCTCCTCATAGCCCAGTCCTTTTTCTCCCCTGCAATAAAATAAACTGTGGTGTCCCCTTGATCTCTAGCAGAGAAATAGAAGTGACTCCTTCCAGAAGCACGTAGGCACTCACCCATCCTGTTCTTAAAAGAATTGCCAAAAAGGTGCTTATCTAGGTGTGAACTTGGCACTGTATTCCATATTCATCCAAAAGAGCCACAATGAGTGTGTGTCCCACAGATACATAAAAAAGGAGACTACATGGAGGAGGATAAAAAGTGTGTCTCTGAGTCTTGCTGTCCTCACTTCTGTTAAGAGATGCCATATGCCTTGTCAAGTCCATGCTGAAAAAAGTAGGCTGCAAAAAGAAGAACACTGCTAGAGGCAGGGAGCAAACACTGATTCTGAAAAACTGAATACTGACTGAACTCAAGGCGATACACAGAACGTTGACAGATCTGCAAGGTGGTGCTCAGCAACAGCAAGCGGTGATTTTCATCACCAGCACACATTTCACAAAGGTAACTAAGCATATTTCTGCTCACAAATCCTTGCAGTGCACTAACAATGCAATCAGAGTCATTCTAAGGGAATAAGGGAATACAGCAATTCATAATTAATCCTAAAAGTACATTTTTTCTAGGGTGGTTTTTTTTCAGGATTTTTTTCATTGTGTCATTTAATATGAAGAAATCAGCTGCAAATGTCTAGAACTTAAGAGAGTTTTTGCTTCTAACATTGATTTCAACATTTAACATGAAATGACTGCAGGGGCAATGGATTACTAGTTGAAAAAAATTACAATTACAAGGGAAAGGCACATGCAAATGTCTTCAATGGACAGTTCAGAAACATTTTTTTTTATCCCCATTTGTTTCTTTAACTGTCCACATTAAGGTACAGTAGAGTTTTGGACATCAGTGCAGTGGTTATTACATCAACAAAAATAATTTCCCTGGTGTTAGAATTTAGTCAGGGGTTATTCCATTATACTAATGTTCTACAAACTGTCATAGAACAAAGAGCATTCTCATCAAGCATCTCTATAAATCTCCACCTATCTAGTTCAGAGCATTAAAAAAAAGGAAGCAAGAAAACCCATCTCTAAACTTAAAATCAAATTAAATGAACAAAATTCTAATAACCCTTGCAACCTCCTCAGTTTGGCAACATAAAATGGAGCACAATGCAACCAAAGATCAACCACTAACAAAAGAGATTCTCAAAACTGCCTAGCCTTGGGTCCTGCAGCTTTGTTATGGGTACCTCTGGGGAGCACAGCTGGATTTTACAATTTTTGGCACATTTTCTTTGATAAGAGTGGGAGACTGTTATCCTGCTTTGAAAATCTCTGCCAAAGAATGTGGATACTAATTTTAGAACCACCTGCATTCCATTATAGGTCAGCCTGACTTTGGTTTCAAAGTGATGAAATCTAATATTAAGATTGAACACGGGTTCTTAAATCACATTAATCCGAATTTTCTGTCTTATAATATTTTCTTATTCTTTTTTGTTAAACATAGATATAGGCATTGTTGTCCTTACTCCAGATTATGCCAATCATTTAAAAATTGTATTTGCTATCAGCTATGTAGGACAAACTTATGGCTCCTAATTGTTGGAAAAGGGAGAAGTGGATGAACAATTTCATATCTTGCAATTGCTGAGAATTTCAAATAAAAATAGTGATATTAATGATTAAGAATAAAGTTTAATTTCTCAGTCTTTTGCAAATTTTTTTAGAGACGTAAAAGAAATAAACCATAAGTTACTCGCACTGAACTAATATTCCACTTCTGACTTCTCTCCATTAAAAATAATTTAAAAAATCTGAAATAACTCACCCCTCTTGCTCTAAGATACTGCCCCTGAAAGAAACATAACCACATTGTTGTTAAAATGGCATCAAGAATAGCTAAGTAATCTGTTCTTGGAAATTAGCTTTGTGTCTGTGTGTTATCTACAAATATACAAGATGAGAATGACAGTGGCTAGAGGTTCATTATATCTGGCAGTATGTTAGCCTTTTTGAGGCTATCATGTTTTAATAATTATTTTAGTAGTATAATCCCCATATTATGCATGAACAACTGTAGTTTACTTGGCATTGGAGAAGAGTTCATTCCTAATAGCAGAGTGTTTGTATGTTTCAATTCATTTGTATAAATAGTAAGATGACCATATTTCCCAAGGAGTCTGTAGAATGTATTATGCTCTTTATTTTGCCCAGTACACATTAACATTTTAACAGTAGCTTTGAAATTAAAATCAGGGCTAACAAAACCGATTCTCTCTCTTCAAGGTAGAACTCAACTCCTCTATGCCAGCATTGACTAGTGGGTTGCCTTCCCTGGGTGAGAACCAGGGCTAAGTTACAGTAAACTGGTCCAGTGTGATATCACAGATATAAAAAATATTCCATTCTGTATCAAAACTAGGCACATGCCTTATATTTATACGAAGAGAAGATCAACAGAGTTGAGTGGTTTTAGTCTCAATTGTTCAGCTCTGGCCTTCTACATGAGGAGAAAAATATCTTATGTTATTTCTAATTAGTAACTACAAGAATCTAATTTGAGTTTGATGGTAGTTAAAAGAAGGGTGACATCACACTTGGGTCAGTATTGGTGGATATCTAAAAGCACAACCTCTCATTTGTATTGCTTTAAAATGTACACAGTATAGATGTAGATTAAAAAGAAAAAAACTACTAATTTTTTTTATGGCGTTGAACCAACTAGAAGGGAGGATGCAAAGTTTTACCAAATGAGATATATAGATACAAATGTCACTGTAGAGTATGTTTTAGACAAATGTGTCTTTTTCTTTAAGTATGTAAATCCTACACTGTAGGTTTTTGTTTGTTTTTTTTCTTTTTTCTTTTGTAGCAGTAGAAAATGTTGAACAATTGTCCATGAGCATGAGCCAGTGGTTCATTGCTGATATCCCCAGAATGCCAATATTTGCAATGCAAACAGTTAGTACAATTTCCCAGTTCTATGAAAGGCCCTGACACATCTGCCTCAAGGTCTGGAGGCTCTGTTGTATAACCACAAATAGTCTTTCCATTTTCCTACAACCTTTTGATACACTGACAGCTGCATTAAGCTGCTTTTGCCTAGCAGTTCCACATGCCAGGCTGTTTTAATTGGTTTTAATGCCACAGAAAAAGCACTGCTAGCAGAATACCATCAAATCATTTTCATATTGAACCGTCGTGGTCCAGAAACCTCCCCTTCAACCACAGCACCATTGTTTTTGCGAGGGACATATTCAAGGTCAATGCTGGTTTTGTGTTTGCCTTTCCCTCGGCTCCACACAAAAAGAAGAAGGAAACAAAATAAAACCACTCCAAGGAATGTGAAACAACCCATAGCTGTGGACACCAATATTGTCTTAAGGTCCAGAGAGTAGCTGTTCGCATTAGTTCCATTGGAACTTGTGTCGTTGGAGTCTGTCATATACATAGGGGTCCTGTTGGCATAAAGGAAGCGGTCTGAAGTAAACCCCTTTACCGTAAGGGAGGCCGAATAGGTGTCATTCCCAGCTGCGTTACTTGCAATACATACGTAGATCCCAGTGTCCTGGTCTTGAGCAAATCGGATCTCCAGGGTGCCGTCTCCCAGCACTGTGGCTCTACCATTTGATTTCGCTGTGATCAGCCTCCGGCGTGGGGTAACCCAGGAGATGGTAGGCTGTGGGTCCCCGTCAGCATTGCACATCAACTGCACTGTCTGCCCTTCCTCCACTACCAGGTACTGCAACTTCTTGTCTTGTATCTTGGGTTTCTTACAGGTGAAGTAAAATGAAAGAGCTGTGCTGTGAAAGTCTCTGAATGACCTCTCTCTGACACTATCTGGGCCAGCACACATCGGTGGCTCACCCCCAAACTGCAAGGTAGGCTGCCGCTGCAAAATCCAAAGGAGACGGCAGTCACAGGCCAGAGGGTTGTTGTTAATACAGAGGACCTCAAGGCTTTTGGAGGAATGGAATACATTCTCTTCTAGGGTTTCTAGCAGGTTTTGGGACACGTTAAGCACACGTAAGAATCGGAGCCCTTGGAAAGCATGTGGTTCAATGGTGCGCAGCTGGGCCCCCACCATGTGGAGCTCCTGCAGGCGCACTAAATCTGACAGCATGCCTGTTTCGATGGTGCTGATGGGGTTGTAAGACAGGTTGAGATGTGTCAGGTAAACCAGGTGTTTAAAAGCAGAGTAAGGTACAGCAGACAGGTTGGTGTTGGTGATGGAGAGGGAAGTAAGATTGAGACCGTACAAACTGTTGGCAGGTAGCATGTCCAGGAGGGGCCAGGCCTCTATCTGTAGGTCTTTCAGGCGAAACAGTCTTTTAAAGGCATACGCCGGCAAAGCGTTAATGTTGAGCTGTTTCAGATGCAGACTGATGAGGTTGTGGAGGTGAGAAAGAGCTTCTGTTGGTACCGCTGTGAGGTTGCATCTCTCCAGGGTGAGCTGCTCCAAGCTAAGCAGCCCACTGAAGGCCCTGTGTGATATATACACCAAATCATTGTCCCCAACCTCCAACGTTTTTAGGTTATGCAGATCTTGGAACATGTAGTCCAGCAAAATGACAATCTTGTTTTCACTTATATCAAGCTTTGTTAAGTTGGATAACCCAGTGAACACCCCAAGGGGGACCAGTTTCAGACGGTTTCCTTTCAGCCTCAGGGAGCGCAAGTTGAAAAGGTTGTTAAAGGCTCCAGGCTCCACATTGGAGACAATATTGTCACTGAGGTCAATCTCCTCCAGCAAAGGGTATGAAGTGAATTCCTCAGGGTTTACGCTCTTCAATCGGTTCTTGCTGAGGTCCAAGATTTTGGTCTCAATGGGAATGCCCTCTGGGATGGACATCAGACGTCTTCGGTGACAGCTGACAGACTTGTTCTGTGCCGAGCACTCACAGCGGGCTGGGCAGCCCATGGTGGGGCCTGTGAAGATTAGCAGCACAGCCAGACCCAGGAACGGCTGCCAGTATGATAGAGCTGTGTGACGCATGACTCCACTGATCTGGGCTAACCCTCCGTCACGGGCCTGTGGGGATGAGGATGGGAAAGGGGAGAAGTTAAGTCTGCAGAAAAAGGAGAACTCAGCCAATTTTACAGTACCATTTCAAAGATTTCATTTGAAGCAAACCAGTAAAGTCTATTGTGAATGGCAAGACCAACACAAAAGCAGCTTTTCCTTCAATATCAGTGGGCTAACCAAAGGATCTGTTTATCCAGCATTTTTCTCCAGATGTCAGAGGAGACAAAACAGCTTTTCCTACTGCAAACAGGAAAGAAGGTTAGGTTTCAGTCTTTTCTCACTCTCAGTGGGTTTCCTCAAGACAGTGTTATAATTAACCCAGAGATAAACACCACACACTCTGCAAAAAGGGTTATCAGGACCTCTGCGAGGACCTCTGCGAGGTGATACGAAACTAAGCTTTTGCCTTTCTTATTCCCATTAGTGTTTTAAGGCAAATCTCAATAATGTATTATAATCAAGAAAAGGAGGTCCTTAACAATGAAAAGATTCCTTTTAACATTTACTGCATATATTAAAGCTATAAATAGATGGAGCTTGTTCACACATACACGTACACAGTGGCTCAGACGAGGAAGGAAGAACTGGTGCATCTCTGTTTAGAATTTTTAATAAGGACAAATTAATTCTTTGCTTTTACTGCACAGAGATATTTCATCTGACTTTTAGAACCCAAGACTTGAGAAGATTTTGCAGAATACATCTTTGTACTTGCAAGACATGTAAACTAGGTTTTAGGAGGACAAAAACCAAGACAAGACGATCTGTCTGTGTTTAAGCAGTGCAATGACCAAAGACAAACCACAGGTTCAATGGAAATCAGAATTGGTAAGCAATTTATTAATTTCCTGCCTTCAGGTTAAAAACGGGGATAGAAGACAAGATAACATCTGTTAAATTAACTCCCCTTCTCCAAAGGCTGTACTTTCCAGGTTTAGTCACTGAAGGCCAGAGACTTTTTTGCCAGTAGCTACTAAATAAAGACACAGTAACTCATTTCAAAAGAAGAAGAGAACAATATGGGTGTTCATCAAAGGAAGGTGTGTCTCAGAGACTTTCAGACTAAGGCAAACTGCAAGGAAGGACAATGGAAGTGCCTTAACTCCTATGGTACAGCCAACCTGATGAGTGACAGTGTTGGGATTTTGGCTTCGTGATATTAATAAGCCTTATGGTGTGCATCAGCCTTTTCTGGATTGGTTAATTTGTGTTCATTTTTACTGAAAAACTGTTTATGTACCTTCTGCCTTTAACTACCTCTCAGATAATAACAGATGAATATCACCCATCTGTCCTACCCATAATGACAAAATTACCCAATGACCAAGCATCCACCACCTTATCTGTGTGTTTGGGCTTTGAGAATCATCTGACTACTGCCTAAGAAGTTTTCAACTTCTATTTGAGTAATTTGTCTATGTGCTGTCATATGGATCATAACGTAAAAGAAATCCTCCTGTAGACAGACGATACCTACATTTAAATGAATTATTGCATAACCAAATTGATGAGGCAAGTTATTTTAGCAAATAAGCTGTTTGAAGCACATAAAAATAATACCGAGTAAATCACAGACTTATGAAAAATAAATTTCACCAATAACTATGCTGCAGTAACACCTCACTCCCCTGGTACACAACTTGGAGTATGATAATCATCCTGACAGAGAAGGGTTGCCCTCTCAGACTGTGGATGATCAGAACAGTGGAGATTCAAGATGTGAGAAAAAGAGCAGATATTTGGATCCATTGATCTTATTGTAACTTTAATGATTTTCAACAGGAACTGTGTGGTTTGGATTGTAAGCATTAACATTATTGTAACTGTACTGAGAAATCAACAGCTGTTGTGTTTTGACTGTTAAAAACTAAATGTAGTGAGCAAGAATTTATTTGGAGCTACTTAAAAATTGTGTTCTTCAACTGAACATAATGGTGCATATATTACTCCTCTCATAACTCCATGGAAGAATCTCACTCTTGACTGATGTGGCTTTGTATTTCCATTCTGACACTTCAATGCAGAGACTAACAAAAAGAGGCAAATTGCATGCTGATTTTGACATGTGGATTGGAGACCTGGATGAAGATTACTCTGTATGATATTACCTACAAAGCACATTTTGACTTTGTTCTAGAAGGACAACCTTCTGAGATTTAGTTTCCCCCTTAAGTTGTAGTCTTGAAAGTAACTATTGTTAGTTAAGTCCAGCTGTGACAAAGATTTTGAGAGGTAAACTTCACTTCATTAGGCACTAAGGTAAAACTGGAAATCTATAGGAGTCTGTGAATTAGATGTTTGCAATGAATTCAGACCAGAGAGGCTTTTGGATGTTCTGATCACTGCTTTCAGAAATCAGTCTGTTAAATTAGTACTTTCATACTGACACTTCTAGCACACAGGGATTTCATTTCCTTCCTTAGCCATCTAATGTATGAAGCACAAAGCAAACAGGTTCAGTGGAAGGTAAGCATCCCTGGAGTGGTCAGTTTAGATAGCAAAAATATGAAACACTTTTTGCAGCTATCCAGTCCACCTGGTAACTAAAACTTCTGAGGACTGTAAAGTAGAAAACAGACAATATAGAAGGTGATAACATTTTTTTTTCTTTGTCTGGGATATAGAAAAGTAGTGTTAATGAGGCACTTCAGACATTAACAGTAGTCTTCAGCAAAGGTATGTACAGATCTGGAGATGGATATGTATTAATTTACAATAGTGTGTGCATGTGTGTGTACACGCAGGCAAGAAAGATTCAGGACTGAGACATAAGCTGGAGTGAATTACATTTCAATAAGGAGAACCAATCAGTTATATTAAATAGCAAGTCAGAAAAGTAAAGATTACTTGGATCAATAAGTACAGGTCAGAAGGAAACATAAATTATTATTTCAACTTACATTGACCCAGATGATACTACCACATTTCCTGCTAAACAAATGTGTGACTGCTCTGTAGAAAAATTACTATTTTCATTAAAAATTACTATCTTCATTTAAAAAATGGAAAAAATCTAACTTTATATCACTGTACAATGAATGAACAAAAAATATAAAGGCCTAGCAAATGAAGTATGTGCAACTTAAAGATTTCTGACTCTGCAGGACAAGGTGAATTTTGTGAGAAGCCTAGAGTGACCATCTATTGCACGTGATCTGATTTGAAATTAATGTACGCAAAGTGGTACTTTCAGGACGCATCCAGTAACATCACTAGCAGCGCCTCTCTTGTGTCTTCAGTCTGAAAACATTTCGACAGGATACATCTTCATCCCTAAAGTATATTTCATGACAATGAGACCATCATAATATGTGATTATGCGTCCACTAATCAAAAATGCTACTGCTTAAAAATCAGAGTTAAATTATGTCATTAAAAGATAGATTTCTTGCAGTGAAAAATTATTTCCTGCATTTCTTTAAACTTGTGTGATGCTAATTATTGGCTTCTTCACTGGCACAGTGCTAATTATCAGTGTCATTTTTCAACCTGATACTTTCCATTCCTTCTTAAACAACCAGGACAACATACTTTATCCTTTGTTAGTATAGAAATTCCTTCTAAACATCTGCAGGATTACCTCATTGTCCTTCCTTGCATTGCTCTCTTCACTATGATACATGCAAGAAATTAAAGTCCATGGATACAAATATGTACATATATATGTATATATACATAGATGTAACCTAAAAGTATAATCTTAGTGCTCTGTGACTGTATTGTGAGTTTGAACTAGAGAGTACTTCTCTAAAATTATAGCTTGTTAGGCCAAAATTAAAAAAAAAAAAAATAAATTATTAAGTAACAGTTTCTCTATGCTTGAATGTGAATGAGAACCTGTAAAATTCTTTCTACAGCCTTTCTGGGGTATTCTTAATGCTTTGATAAACTCTAGGAAATTACATATATAAAGGAATTCCTCATTAAAAAATAAAAATAAACTAATTGCCTTATTTTTGTCTTTCTCTTTCTCTGTTTCATAAGTCCAAAGCATCAAGAGCCAAGTTACTGTTGGCTGATACTCTTTTTTAAAACAGGACCCTAGTCAAAGTTCAAGTATGCAATTATGAAAGCTCATTAAAGTTATTAGTTAATAGTTCTATGTGATCTCACCCAAAACACCCATTTCTACTGCTTTGAAATGCAAATCAGTTTGTACAAAGTTCTGCAGCTTTGAATCTTCCCATAAATGCTTTACAAGAATGTACAGCGCCCTGTAGCTTTTAAACTGAAAGACTGTAACTAAAAATAAATTAAAAAAAAACAAACAAAAGCAACCTGATGCTCCCTTAGAATGCCATGCAATTCTGAATATCATAGGTAGGAATGTGTAAAACCAAATATGTTATATATTGTTTCACTTCTCCCTCTCAGACTAATTTTTAAGCCTTTATAGCTAAAACTGGAGTGCACTTGACCACACTCCTTTCCATGTCTAATATGATTCTTTGGTACTATAATAGACATGGCTTTAGCCAGAAAAGGAAAGATCCGTTTCAGTTGCCACCTGAATTTGTATCAAATGATGCTCTGACTTGGCAGTTTTGATCTCACCTTTTCCACCCCTTTTCCTACCTTTGAGAAAGCAAAAATGTCCAGTGGATCATATCAGATGTGACAATTTTGCCTGACGTTGAGATCATTTAATAATTTACCTTCTAAGATTCCCTTTAGAAAACCATACTGTATTAAACACATGTTCTAGGATTAAACATTGCATGACAATACAGACTTGTACTAATTATTCACTTAAATGCTACCAGCTAATCCTGAGAACCAGGTGAAGTCCATGTTTTAAAGGTGTGTGCTGCACTGACCCTGGCTGGACACCAGGTGCCACCAAAGCTTCCACCACCACCCTCCTCAACTGGACAGGGTAGGGAAAATATAATAAAAGGCTCACAGGTCGAGATAAAGAAAGGAAGAGATTACCCACTGGTTACCATAACAGGTAAAACAGAGTCAACTGAGAAAAATTAATTCACTTTATTACCAATCAAATCAGA